CTTAAACGAACAATAACCACAGATTTTGACAAAATACGACCGCGTTTCTATTATTTTTTCCAACCCAAACACGAGGTCTTCTGACGAATTTCCATGAAAAACCAAAATTGCGGAAGAAAAGCGTTAAAAAAGAAGATCGTGACCAAGTATCGTTATCCACGTTACTAACTCAGTGGATTTCATAAATATTTCTGAAGCCTAAACTTAAAAAAAAAAGCCTTCGGAATTTTTATATAATATCGTGTTCAATGCTCATCAACGCCATGTCGTTGTAAATGAAGAGTTTCGAAGAAGTACGCAGCTTTGATTTTCTTCACATAAGCCAATACAACGCATTGATCCTTATATAGCATTGCTTTCTCTTCTTGATTACATGTGGCTTCCAAGCAAGTCTCCTGTCAAGCGTGAAACATAGGTAATTCAGGTTACTGCGGGATGGGGAAGCTGTTGATGCCAGTTTCTTGGTTGGAGAGAAAAAGTAGTCGCAGTGGATTTGTCGTTGTTAACCTCAATATTCCATCTTCTTTGACAATCGCTGGGCAGGTCGAGCTGCTCATGCATGACAGCAGCTGCGTCGGGGGGTCATCCACGTAAGTGGCTGCTATAAGGATTGGGCTCTGCAGGGGGCTCCGACCGGGAGGTCGGCCGTATAGGGCAGCGGACCCAGTACGCTGCCTTGGGGGATTTCACCGGGGCCCTCTCTAAGGGCAGAGGTGTCCTCTCCGCATTTGACTGCAAACTTTCGGTGCTTCAGGAATGTCTCCAGGAAGAGGAAGAACGGTTGGGGCAGGCTAGTCTTAAGCTTGAGCAAGAGACCGGTGTGCCAGACTCCGTCTAAGGCTTGCTTCCCATCCAACATGACAGCCAGGCAGTATTTCCTGGTTTCAAAAGCGTCCAGGATGTACCAGGTGGCAGCAGTTTTAATGTAATTGCTATGATACCATTATCGCCCGGGGCCTTGCTGTTGTTTATAGTGGAAGTCTGAGCAGCTGTCTCCTCTTCCGTGAGTAGTGCTATCAAGGCGGCATCTCTGGGGGACTCGGCCAAGAATCGGACTGTTTCTGTAACCTCTTCAGACGATCAGCGATTAAACGGCGTGAACACGTTTGCAAGATGTTCGGGAAACGCGTTTGCCCGGTCCATCTCTGTTCCGCACCAGCTGCCGCCGTTTCTCTGGACTGGTGTTTTTCTCTTATCCTCTTTACGCTGGTAGGCTGTCTTATTCCTTTGGTGACACGCCAAAGGTTGAGTTGTGGGTCGCCCGGTTCCAGTTGCTCAACAAACCCGTGGAAGGCTTCCTTCCTCAGCATTGCCAGTAGTTCTGTGAGCCGTTTGGAGGTTCTATTAAGGGGTTATATACAGTTGTACCGCTCAAAAAAATGGAATTTTATCGATTTTTTTTTAACACCATAGAAAATATTTATGAAAAATGTTTTACCAACGTTGTTTAGTACATGTTTCTGGGTACTTAATGAAATTTTTAATTTAAAAAAAAATGGCGACGGTTTTAACAAAAAATGTACTTTTTTGAAGTTATAAGATTTTTGATTTTTATGATTTGAAGAGAAGTTTTCCAAAAAATTTAAAATCCCTCGTTCACGGACTAGACAATAAATATACTAACTACATTTTTTTGAAGTTTGGATTTCAGATGAACCGTTTTCGGGATATCATGTCCACCGCAAGACACCATCGAAAAAAAAACGATCCGGGAATTGTGTGGCTTTGTATGTATGTTTCATACATAAAAATAAAAATGTGTCATAAAATTTTGTGGCTTTGTATGTATGTGTCACTGCTTGCACGAAGGCGTAAAATGAGTTGGCTTCCAAATTTCAAATTCAATTTCTCGTTTTTTTTTCCAATGCGCCGATGTGGTAACAGAACGAATAGTATTTTTGATCACTGCCGATAGGGTTACGATGGTAGCGTAATTCCTAAAGTAGTTGCTCTGTATACAATTTTTATACCCTTGCAATACCCTCTGCCATAATTTACCCATAATTTTTCCCAAAAGTGTGCAACGCAGTGAAGGAGACATCTCCGACCCTATAAAGTATATATATTCTTGATCAGGATCACCTCAAAAGTTGATATGATGTCCGTATGTCCGTTTCTCTTTCTGTTTTTACGCAAACTAGTCTCTCAGTTTTAAAGCTATCGACTTGAAATCGATCGACTTAAGGGGAGGGTAAGGTATTAAATATTTTTTTTTCCATTTTTTTTTTATTTTTTAAATTGAATGCATAATATCTGAAGAATATTGTGTCAAAGTCAATTAAAGCAAAATTGAAATTTCAAGTCAATTAAAGCAAAATTGACGAAGTTATTAGTTATTGACGAAGTTGCTTATTAACGTTTTAAGCCTAGTACTGAGTTGACGAAAATCCGCTTTTGAAATTCCGCTAGCGAAATCGCACTTTATTCAGCTACCGAGCTAGTGTGACCAAAAAAATTAAGAAAAAGGGTAATACTGAACAGCTGTTGTTTGTAAACAAAAAACCAATAGGGAAAAATGAATTCAAATCAATTGGATGTTGGTGTTTTGTTTATGTATTTCGCCGCTAAAGAGCTGATTAAGAAATAGAAAACTGGGTCAAAATCAAAATCAATCACAAATCATTTCAATGCCATTTTATGGCATTAAAATGCCCCTTGTGGGTCAAATCCTATATTATGGGCTTCGCCTTGACCGCACTAATTAATTTCAATTTATCCTCGCGCGCCGAAAACTTTTCGGTCCGACAATTTTTTTCTTTCAAATTTTCGCTCCATGTTTTAGCTATCAAAATAAATCAAATGAATTATTTCAACACCCAAAAATCAGCTGTTTATTTTTTTTGATCCGGTAACGCCATTCAATTTGATAGCTAAAATTTTTCTCAACACAGTACCCGACAAATTTAGGAGACGAAAAATTCTTCTTCTTCCTTTTTTTACACCGTTTTTTGTATATGGAGTTTGACAGCTGTCAGATTTTCGACAGCGGATTTTCGTCAACTCAGTACTAGGCTTTACACTGGATTTTTTTGTGTTTAAAACTTTAAAGCGTTTTTCCCACAACTCACGTTTTCAAAGTCGGTGCCCCTCATAACTTCAAAACTACTGCACCGATCCTTTTGAAATTTTAAACACTATTTCTGTACATATTTTACGAGGTAACGCTGTCGAGTTTTTTTTGTTCATAGTTTTGATTTCGCAATGACAAATTAACCGATTTTTTCCCAAAAAATTGAGTTTTTCACTTCAAAGTCTTCGAAAAAATTAAAAAATTGCAATTTTCAAAAAACCTTTACAGCGTTACCTGGGGCGAACTATTATCTAACGAATGAATTTTCATTTTTGGATTACAAATGATCCAGCACCGAGTTATGAGGGGCACCGCAATTCAACTTTTTTTGGCGACACGTCCGGACAATTGCTACCATTGCCATATTTTTAAATATTTTTTTGTTTAAATTTTATTAAACATTCTCCTAATGTCATACTTTAATATACCGTTGGTTGAATAAATAAATTTTAACTGTGTCGTCAGGAAAAAAATCACAAAAACATGGCTTTTTTCGCATGATTTGACCTTACCCTCCCCTTAAAGCTACCGACCTACCAAATTTCATAACGATCGGCCGACTATATCTTATAGCTGCCTTATAACTAAACTATCGGAAATGGTTTTTGGTAGAAATACCACCTTTGATGTTCTTGAAGATAGAAGGTTGGGACTTTTTTATACCCTTGCAGAAAGTACTATGATTTGGTCCAAAAGGGTGCAATGCAGTGAAGGAGACATCTCCGACCCTATAAAGTATATATATATCCTTAATCAGGATCACATTCTGAGTTGATATGAGCATGTCCGCCTGTCCGTCTGCCTGTTTCTACGCAAACTAGTCTCTCAGTTTTAAAGCTATCGACTTGAAACTTTGCACACACCTTTCTTCCTTTTGCACGCAGTATATAAGTCGGAACGGATCGGCCGACTATATCCTATAGCTGCCATATAACTGATTGATCGGAAATGGTATACATTTGGTGTTTTTAAAGTTAGACAGTTCAAATTTAACATGAAAGCTATTTTTGGCAAAACATTACGACATGCCAAATTAAATGCTATCTGTATTATTTTTGGGGCTCGGGCAGTCACGTCGAACTATAAATTCGGTGGAATAAACCTGAAACTCTGTGAGCTAGCCGCAAATGGTTGCGAGCGGGAAGAAGAACAACAGTTCGTTACACCTCAAAAATACCAAAGTTGTGCCATTTCCGATTGTTGATATATATGGCAGCTGTAGCATAAAGTCGGTTGATCCTTATACAATTTTTTATGTTTGTCCAACCTTTTATCTTAAATAACATGATAGGTCATTTCCGATCTTTCAATTATAATATCCTTATGAAAACAGGTATGTCGTATTAATTTGCCAAAAATAGCTTTCATGTAAAATTTGAACTCTCTAACTTTAAAAACACCAAAGTTATACCATTTCCGATCAATCAGTTATATGGCTTATATAACGACTTATATACTGCGTATCGATCCCGACCGCTAAGATATATATATTGCGTGCAAAGAAAAGAAGGATCTATGCAAAGTTTCAATTCGATAGCTTCAAAATTGAGAGACTAGTTCGCATAGAAACTTATATCAACTCAGGAGGTGATCCTGATCAAGAATATATATACTTTATAGGGTCGGAGAAGTTCCTCCTTCACTCCGTTGCACACTTTTCACAAAAATTATAATACCCTCTGCCAGGGTATTAAAAAATATTTGTTAAGAGTATGAATTTCATAGTATCGAAACATAAAATTATCAGTATTATAAATTTTGAATTACAGTTATATATTTTTTTTTGCCGATGGATATATACTTACTAAAAATTATATATCCTTAAATTGTTTTATAAAGTCCTTATTTAAGTCCCTTTAAAACCACCTTATAATAATTGTAATAAATAAATTTTTTAAAGTATTAAATCTTACTACAATATTTATTTTAGGAAACAAGAGCTGTTAAACGGAATTTATGCCATGGGATTTAATACACCAAGTAAAATACAGGAGACTGCGTTACCAACACTACTTGCAGATCCGCCACAAAATATGATTGCGCAAAGCCAGTCTGGTACAGGAAAAACTGCGGCGTTTGTCTTAGCTATGCTAAGCCGAGTAAACGTTAATTTAAATCACCCTCAGGTATATTCATTAAAAACAAGAAAGGATTTCTAGCTTCGGATGAAACCGAAACTTATACACCCTTGCAGTTAAATACGTTTGGCATCGATGTATTTTAGATTGGATGTATATTAATTGACCCATTTTTCCTTTGTTTTTTTCCTTTGTAAGTCGGAATGGTCAGGATAGGCTGACTATATCCTATAGCTGCCATATAATTGTTTGATCAGAAATGGCATAACTCTGGTGATATCAGAGTTAGAGAGTTCGGATTTATTGTGGATTTTTTTTTACAGATTCATCTGATTTCTGATTGTATTTATATTGTATGAATGAAAGAACCAATGTTTTGTATTTAAAAGAAAAAGGACTTCCACTCTCTTCGACAATACAACTTCTACAGTACCACAATACTTGCAAAAAAGCTCTGGTAGTACTTTTGGTTTCAAATTAAAAATATAAAATGAAAACAATAAAAATAAAAACAAGAAAGGAAAGCTAACTTCGGGCGGAGCCGAAGTTGATCTACCCTTGCAGTTAAAACCGGATATATATCGCCAACATCGGATATAGTTGGTGGATCCTTATGATTACATCATAAAAAAACCAATTAATTAAAATAAAAAATCTAAAAAAAGTCCCAAGCTTCTATCTTCAAAAATACGAAAGTTGGTATTTTTACAACACCAAATACCATTTCCGACCGTTCAGCTATATGGCAGCTATAAGATATAGTCGGCCGATCCTATTGAAATTCGGTAGGATGGATCAACTGGCCAAAAATAGAATCTGTATTAAGTTTCAGCTTTCTATCTTCAAAAACACGAAAGTTGGGTCATTTTCGATCGTTCAGTTATATGGCAGCTATAAGATATATTCGGCCGATCCTTATGAAATTTGGCATGTCGTAATGTTTTGCCAAAAATAGCTTTCCTGTAAAATTTGAACTCTCTAACTCTAAAAACACCAAAGTTATACCATTTCCGATCAATCAGTTATATGGCAGCTATAGGATATAGTCGGCCGATCCGGGCCGTTCCGACTTATATGCTGCGTGCAAAGAAATGAAGGGTGTGTGCAAAGTTTCAAGTCGATAGCTTCAAAACTGAGAGACTAGTTCGCGTAGAAACAGACAGACAGACAGACGGACAGACGGACATGCTCATATCAACTCAGGAGGTGATCCTGATCAAGAATATATATACTTTATAGGGTCGGAAATGTCTCCTTCACTGCGTTGCACACTTTTGGACAAAATTATAATACCCTCTGCAAGGGTATAAAAAAATATATATAATACATTAAAAAATAAATTATTTTATTATTATTTATATTATTATTATTATTATTATTATTTTATTATTAAAATTATTTCTATAAAATTAATTTATTTAACTTTTGTTTCATATTTTTTCTACTCTAAAATTTTTAAAGTTTACACATGTTGATACTTTTTAGCGATATCTGTTTGTTCACAATTTTTCGGCGACTTTGGGGCTCGGGGAACTTGACCCGTGAAGCAGCCGATTCCTAGTAGGAATCTAAAGTAATGGTGCTCCGCGTGACAGCTGTAGATCTGTACACTGAGATTGGGCTTGCTTCTGGAGGCGTTGGATCGGCTCCCGGGATCGCAAATCCACGTGGGTGAGGGTACTCCCGAAGACGAAGGAGCAGCCGGGCAGATCCACGTGGTGAGAGTGATATCGAAGGCAACGGCTGGTGCCCCAATTCGGGCCAATCTCCTTGTCAATGGTTCCTTCCCAGAAAATCCCAGAAATTCCTTCCCAAATTAGATCTATCTATCTAATAAATCTTTATATATCACCAGTGCATATATACCAACCAGCTCGATTGTGATCAGCTTGTAGCTCTGGGCGATTTTAATAACCCAGACCTAAAGTGGTTTAATGTTGATGCTTGAGGTTTCAATTAAAACCATTTCTGGTTAAAAAACTTCTTAACATTTGCGTTTAGACGTCTTAACTGGCTTGCAAATCTTCATTATTCCTCTTATCGTAGTAAAAATCGTAGGACAATGCGGGGTGTCGTTTTTCTTCATACCCTCATTAATGGTGAAGTAGATAGCCAGCATTTACTAACACGCTTACATTTCAACACTCCTAATTAAAGGACTAAAAGCTTAGACCCCTATTCTTTAGCCATTGTAGCTCAAAATATGCACAACACAACTCTCTTAAGGTCTTTTGTTCAAACTACGATGGTCTCTACCCTATCACCCCTTTTCCCTGCCTTCAAATTTACCAACTTGTCAGCTGGTGCACGAGTACATATTAAGCTATTTGAAATTTGTTAAGCTAAGAGGAGTTAGTAAGGAAATTTAAAATTTTATATTTTAAATTAGAGGGACAGGAAAGAGATGTAATAGAAGGGTCATGCAGTGCATATGTCGAACTACAATGGCTAAGGAACAGAGGACTAAAGTTTCGAGTCCTTCTATTAGGAATGTTAATTTTTAAACATGTTAGTAAATGCTGGCTATCTACATCACCGGTTAAAAGGTTATGCAGAAAAACTACACCGAGCATTGTCCTACGATTTGTTAAGCTAGGTAAGTTTATAAGTAAAAGTCTGCTACTGTAGGATGGAAGCTGAAGATTTGCATCCCAGTATAGACCTCTAAGTGCAAATATTAAAAAGTTCTTTTGTACGGATTCTATGCGGTCCTTAAAGTTAGTCTAATAGGTTATGTCTAATAGGATGCCGAGATCATTAACCTGGGTTAATTTTTCTAAGGCAATCCCATTAATATAATAAGTCGCTTGCAGAGGGCAAGAACGATAAAAAGACTTACGCTTGAATTTTGATCCATTAAGTATTACATCATTAGCTAAAAACCATTTTTGAAAGTTATTAAGGTCAGACTGAAGACTGTATTGGGCAGCGATGGATTTGTACTGAAGACAAAGCTTTATATCATCTGCATACATAAGAACTGGAGAGTTTCTTAAAGCAGGGGGCAAGTCGTTTATAAAAAGCGTAATTAATAACGGGCCAAGATGACTTCCTTGAGGGACGCCAGATGTAGCACGGACCAGACGGGACTGTATGTCTTTAAATAAGACTCTTTGTGTCCTTCCATCTAGGTAGCTGGAGATCCACGTTAAGAGGTCTTTAGGAAAACCCAGCATATTCAGTTTACTCAACAAGAGTGAGTGATTAACTGAATCAAATGCTTTGCTGAAGTCTGTGTAAATTACATCGGTTTGATATCCCTTACAAAAGCCATCTATGACAAAGGATGTCAACTCCAATAAGTTTGTGGTGGTGGAGCGACGCTTAATAAAGCCATGCTGACAAGGAGTGATAATCGAAGAGCAAAGGTGTTGAAAATGATTAATTAAGGGGTAATTAATTTTTCAAATAACTTTGGAATTGCCGACAACTTAGAGATGCCTCTGTAGTTGGCAGCCTCGGACTTTTTCCCTTTTTTATGTAGGGGAATTATGAATGATTCCTTCCACTTAAGGGGAAAAATCGAGGTTTCCAAAGATAAGTTGAAAAGCCTTAGAAGAGGTTTGCACAGAGCCCTGGCGCAATATTTTAGCAAACAGCCTGGTACTCGTCGGGGCCTGGCGAATAAATGGGTTTTACCCTTAAAAGACCAGATAATAAGTTGTTCTCAGAAAAAAACGGACAGAAAATAAGATTTGCTGCTTCAATGTTAAATGCGTAAGGCTGATCTGTCCATTTACGCGGAGAATAAGTTGTTTGAAAAAATTCTCCGAATAGATCGGCAATGGCCTGATCAGAGGTCGCAGAGGAATTTTCAAACGTAAGCAGGGGTGAAAAAGATACGTGTTTACGCTTAGTGTTTACAAAATTATAAAACTGCTTTGGATCCTGTGTAAATTGTATCCGGCAGAGGTCAATATAATTCCTATAACATTCAGCGTTATGCACGGTAAAAATCGACCAAGCTAGTAGGTATCTTGAAAAATCAACACTACTGCAGGTTTTTTTATGTTTTAGTAAGAACCTATTTTTAATATTTTTTAGGTTAGTGAGGCATTTTGTATACCAAGGAGGATTTGTTGAAGCGGACGGATATTTCCATGGCACACAGGAAACAAAAAATTTATTTAAAGTACAGTAAAATTTTTCTAAAGTGACGTTAATATCAGTGCATGCTAGAATATCGGACCAATCGTATGTATCGATAAGGCTATAAAGTTTCTGAAAATCAGCTTTACGGAAGCAGAGACTTTATTGATAGGTGACAAAGATGTTGAGTTGTCGACGTTGGACCACTTTAATTCTGGGATATTAAAGTCGTCCACCGCTACGAGTTGGTCACGATCCGTCATAAGATTAGAGACGTATCGAATGGCGGACAAATGCTGCCAATATGTGGGCGGTTCAGACATAGGCGGTATATATGAACATGTAATGTATAATGATTTCACGGAAATAGTGATTTTAACGCAAATGAATTCTATGTCACCAAACTCTTGGAATTTCACCTCTTCAGAAGCAAGAGTAGAGTCTACCAAAATGAGTCCACCCCCCTTTCGCTAAGGGCGATCCCGTCTAAAAGTGGTGTACTTACTTGGAAAAACTTCGGAGCTAAAGATCTCCGGCTTTAACCAATGTTCTGTTAAGGCTATAATATGGGATGCAAAGGAAGAACTATCAGAATATAGTTTAGGGAGTTTGCTACGGAGCCCCATAGTTTTCTGATAGGTAAGTGTAAGTGACGATACTAGTTTTTTGGGTTAGTGGACAAAAAAGAGGTGGAAGGTTGGTCAGTGGTTCCGATATTGGGAAGTCTCACTCCTACTGGTTTTATAAGTTTTTTCTTTACGGAACTAGGCTGATGTTCTTGGACGAAAAGATTCTCTGGCCAAAAACTGGGAGAATAACTCGTCTTGAACATCAGCGCGGGCACACGAATCTTGAAAGAAGACGTGCGCCGTGTATAATTATATTTAAATTTAGTTATGTCCTCCACCTTTATATCGGCTTCTTTTTTGGCTTTGATATAAGCCGAGATATCAATCTCT